CAACTCAATTTTGTTGAAAATATTGAATTGGTGATTGGTGATTAAAAGATGGAGTAATAAATTGAGATTAAAAGAGAAAATATTATATTTATTAATTTTCCTTATGAGTCGAAAATTTTTTAATGAAATAAATTGAATACACAAAATGAAGTCATCATGTTACAGCGTTGGTCTGAAAACCACAATAAATCACTGAAAGTGTTTCCATTACGAGAGAAGTTAAATGTATATGAAACGATTTTATTGTATTTTGTAATTTATTTATTTATTTTAATTAATAATAATATTTAGTAAAAATTATTTCTATAGCTATTCGGTTAACAATTTTTGTTTAAACAGAAATTAGCTCTTAATTTTGCAGACTTTTTATGTTACGATATTTCCGCTTTAAGAATCAAACTCATTTATAATTTGAATGCTTGTTTTATGTTAATTCACTGTACTATTATAATTTTATTAGTAAAACTTAAGTTCTGGAAATATGATCGAAACAGAAGAAGTAAGTAGTCTTCAATTAGTAATGTTTGCAGAAGTTCTATTTGTAAATGTTTAAGAAATTTGTATTCGTTGTATCCTGTTGAGCTCACATTCTTCTATAGTGCTATGGATTTTATAATTTTTCTGTAAATTCAGACAAATTCCGTCCGATTTTTTTTAAATATTATTGTTCTTAAAAATTAGGTACTCTAAGCCGGAAAACTATACTTCTAGTATTTGTGGCCAAAACTATCTCTATATACCTTAATTTTACGATACGATCGATACAATAGTAATAAATTTATAACTTTAAATATTATATATGTATATAGGTTTTAGTTTTATTATCTTCTTTATTCTAAAAATAATAAAGATGTCATACTAATACAAAAATCATGATTCTTATCTATCTATAAAAATGTTATATAATGTGTAAATCATAAAAGTTTCAAAATGAATGAATAGAAAATTCGAAATAAATCGAAAAAAATAAAAGAAAAGAACAAAAATTATATGATAAATGCAGTTCTAAGTCCTTATAGAATTTTTCCCAAAGGTAATCATTGGGTTTTTGTCCCATATACAATTTCCATATTAACATACAAATACACATACCTTATGCTGAATTTGTAAATTTCCGTTATCCTTTTTTTCCCATCAATAGAATATGTGATTTTTTTGTGTTTTTTTTTTTTTGTTTTAGGATAATTTTCTTTTTTATATATAATAAATAATTTTGTAATACGTATTCCTCTTCTAGATGTATGCATGTAAGTATGTATATTATAAATATATTATTTGAATAAATATAAATATATTTATGAAATTGCATAGTTATAGGGATTTAAGTTGAAATTTATGTTTATAAAAGAATTAGGTCGATAAAATGTGTATTATACACTGACTGTCTAAATTTATATATTTTGAAAATTTACCGAGATTTTCACGGTAATTATTCAAAATATTAAAAAAAAAAAAAGGCAAGAATTGCCTTTGGCCGGCTATGGCTTGTATTTAAGTTGTCCCACCTGGCAAAGAGCACCGAGATCAGAATATTAAATGCAATATGTGAAATTGGTACTACTATACGGCTGTGAAACATCGGCTGCCGGGCAAAATGTATATTAAAAATGCACAGGTTTATTATCAACAGTTTCCAAAAAATAACATGTGGAATATTCTGCCCAAGAATAATAACAAGCAATTAACTGTGGAAGATTACGGATAACAAGCCAAAAACGTGACTATAAAAGAAAGAATATAGAGACGGCTGGGACGTACGTTATTATGGCCGGATAATACCATACCCAGGCAGGTATTAGATTGGAGCTCAAAGAAAAGGAGGGAGGGTAGACCCTGGAACAAATTTAAATTTTTTAAAAGTCTGAATAAATTTAGTTTGAATACTATAATTTTAGTCTGAATTTTCTAGAATCCGAAACTCTATTATAAGGAAATAAGATACTTTAAGTGTTACCGTTTCTGAAAATATTTCTTTCATGTTTACTAATTCACATTTTCGATCCTTAATCGTAACCATAATATTTATAGTAACCAGAAACAAAAAAAAAAGTATAAAATCCGGAAAAAGGGGATTTTTTTGTTCTCTAAGTTTTAGCATAAAATAATAATTTGTTCACCTAATATTGCGAATTTTTACTAAATTTTTCTTGTTGTTTTTTTTGTGTTTAAGCTCGAACACTTTAAATGCAGAAATTTGTTCTTTTATTTTTAAATTTAAAAAACAGCGCGAAAGGTGAATGAGAGTTTTTGATGCTTCAAAAAATATTTTTTACTACTCATACAGTTTTTTTAAGTTAACGATTTCCTCCATTTTTTTTTTCGCAAGTATTGAAAACTTTTGAATTTTTTATTGTAAATCAAAATCATTTGAATATCTCGGATAAAGTGATTATTGAGAGCAGCAAATTTATAGAATTTTCCGCAAAAAAAAAGAAGAAAAAAAATTTTTTTTTTTTTGTTATTGTCAGTCATATTTCATAAATTTTTATTTTTTGTTTTTTTTTTCCACTATTCAATCACATTTTATGCCAATAGATTTTTTTTGTGAATAAAATAAAACGTTACATTATAGAAAATTAATTTTCAGTATATTGAATATTAAAAATAAAAAAAAGAGATTTTTGGAGCAGAAATGTGGTAGTTTACTTATTTAAAATTGATTTTATTGATCCCTTTTCAGTACATTTCAGAAGCACAAAATTGGAAAAAAATGTCTTTTCTGAGAAATTTATTCAAAAACTAGAATGTTTTAAAAATCCCGAAATCATCATTTTTTAGAGTAGCCTAAAGTTTTAACAACTTTTGGACTAACATTAAATTACGTTGAATTCTTGTGTTATCATAACTAGTGCATTGATATTGTTTTAAAGCAACAAAATGTGAACATACAACTTGCTTTCGGGAGTGTTGAGAACGGGCGTCAGGAATAAGGCAGATAAAACTTTTCATTCCTGGCCCGTGAACTGTTGGCTTGAAAAAGAAAAGAGGCCAAGTTGGTGGTCGACCTCCTCACGCGACATTGCAGACTGGGTTGCATAAATTGGGATAATCTGGGGATAGTTTGTGTAGATTTTGCTATGATGATAGAGAAGAAATTGGCCAGAGAGACTTGGTGGGATATATAGTGGCACCCTCAAACTTGTGGGTGGTGGCTTTTGGATGAACCTATAATTACGTGAGGATTAACCGGTGCTTTATAAACGGTGGGATGTTTTAATAAATCCCTATGGCTTTCTGGTTTAAGGGTGCTTCTGCATGTGACATTTTTTACAAAGAAGAGTCCTCATGAAATTGAACGTTTCAATTAAAATTATACATCTATACCTTATATTCAGTAATTATTAAGCACGCACTTTGATGGAGGATAATATAGAAAGAAACATTTATCAAAATTTCCCTAGCATAACAATAAAAATATTATAAATTAAACTAAAATATTGGGAATTAAATACAGAAATATTTTTATGTTTTGTGCAATTAAATGCCTAATAATAAATGTACGCCTTCGGTTATGCAATTGCTGTACTAATGTTAAATAATATAATGTATGTATATGATGAGAATTTTAATATTTTAACATAAAATGTTCTAATGTTCTCTAATATCCTAAAATTTTATCTTTATCATATTGTTTAAAATAGGCTTGAGGCCCTTAAAATTTATTTAAACATAAATGCTATTATTCACACATAAGTATACAATGGCAATAAACAATTAGCTATTATGAATATTTATTTAAAAAATTTTTTTCAAATTATGCGCTTTGTGAATTGAAATAAAAATAAATTTTCCGCAAGTATAAATGTGCAATTGTGAATTTTTTATTAGTTTGAATCGAGAAAGAAAACGGGGTATTTAACCATTTTGATTTTTTTTTTATACTAAAGAAAGCATGTTTTAAAATTTATGTAAGGTCAAGCACATATAAAAATTTTATTAATTTTGTTTCAGATTAAAAAGAAAATTGCTTGAAAATAATTTGTAGCTGTCTGTTATTCAAAATGATTTTTCGCTCAACTTAGTACAAGATGTCAACACTATCGGCAGAACATTAATTTTTCTGGGAATGGTGAAAAATTATTAAGATTAACCCCTTAAATATAGTAAAAATTGTAAGATTTAAATTATGGTAATTAAGAATAATGAATAAAATATATTTCAGATGAATCTGAGACGTAAAATTGCAGATGAGCAGGCGGAAAACTAGTTAAAAACAGTGAAATTTTTTCAATTTCTTCAATATAGTTTGAAACGTGAAGTGAAAACGAAGCCCCCATTCTTTGCTTGCACTGAGATCTGACGGAAATCGAGGAACCATTTTCAAAAATTTAAAAATTTTTGCTAATTTAAATTATAAATTTTCCAAGAATTGCATATTAAGTATGCAAAATTTATTTGTATTAATTTGAAATTAAAACTTTTTCAAGTATATGCATGCATAAAAACGTACAATTTCTATATGTATGCCCTCAATTAAAAGTTTGTGACTATCTCTTGTATATATACGTGCATAATATAGGTATAATATGTAATTAGTTCCACAATAATTATTAAAAGTTTTTGAAAAGTATACTCTGCATCAAATTTCAAATATAATGCTCTGTACTTCTGTACATAATAAGTTTAATTTAAAATTTTGAGAAAATTTAAGAGGTTCTTTAAATGAAATTTCGTTATTGAATGAAATTTCATCATATTGTAAGGATGCAAAAGTTTTCTACCATGTATTCTTTTCTTATATTTGCTATTTGAAATGAATTTTGTTTTTGCTATATAGCTCTAACTACGTGTAATAACAAAAACGTACCTATATACACTGGAAATTGTGTTTACTTAAAGTTTCTTTTAAAGTAAGTAAATGAGAATTTAAATTTTTAGTATGCATTATGAAAAAATAAAAAAATCGATATTGCCAAGGTAATCAAAAAATTTTCTTAAAATTTATACATAGTACACACTTATGTTTGTATTCAAAAATACTGATTGTTAGACCCAATTGAAAGAAATTTGTGAATTAAGTTTATACATAAAATGGAAATGAAAGGAGAAATAAGAGGAAGCCTTTTAGATTTCTAAAAGTAGTTTGGTTTGTATACAAAACTAATTTTTTTGTCTTTTTTACTTATTTACCTCAGAATTCATATCGTCGTCATCCTCATAAATTTTATTAGATGAATGTTGTTGTTGTTGCTGTAATTTTGGTTTTTCATTATTTTGTATTTGCTGCTGTTGTTGTTGCTGTTGCCGAGAGATAGGCCAAGAAATAATTTTTTCATCATCTGTACATAATTTAATATCGTTGTTACCACTACTATTTAAATTATTGTTGCTATTATTTTTTAAAACTAATGTTGAAGAATTTTCATATTCCATTGGCCAGGGTGAAGAACAAATGTTGGTATTATTGCCAAAAATTTCTTCATCAATTCTTTCATTTGATTTATTAAATTCTAAAGAAATTGCTGCCAATTGGCATGTATCAGGTGATTCTATATCAAATTGTTGTTTTTGTTGCTGCTGCTGTTGTTGTTGTTGATGTTCTAGTTGTTGTAGTTCATGTTGTTGCTGTTGTTGTTGTTGTTGTTGGTAATGATAATAATGTTGATTTTGTATTTGCTTATTTGTATAATGCTTTTGATGATGATGATGATTTAAATGATTTTGAAAATGTTGATTATGTTGTATTTGTTTTACTAATGAATTACGATGATTACGATGATGATATTGTTGTTGATAATTATTTTGATTAAGAAGGTCATTTTCATTATCATTTGGTTTTTGTAATTGTAATTTATTTTTTTCTATATTATCATCATCTAATTGCCTTAGTTCTTCGTCATCGTGGTGAGAATGATGATATTGGTGATGATGAATAAATGGATTTTGTTGAAAATGTATTCCAAATTCTTGATTATGGTGTTGCTGCGGATGTTGTTCATGATGCTTATGAAGTTGATGATGATGCTGTTGATGTAAATGTGTTTGATGATTATTATTTGGTTGATGTTGTGCTTTCAATATATTATTATGATCTTGATGTAAATGTTGTAAATGTAAATCTTGTTGTAAATCAAAATCATATTGAAAATGCTGGTTTTGTTGTTGATGCATATGATTTTGCGAATGTTGATTATTTATATTGCTTGCATTATTATTCAAAAAATTTAAATGGTGATTATGATGATGATGGTTATTATGGGAATGATTATTATGGGACTGATGATGATTATGATGGTGATTATTGCTCCCATTTGTATTTAAATTTAAAAAATCTTGATGATGCTGCTGCATTGCATCATAATTGTTTGGTGATAATACCATTTTATGCATTTGTTTTTTTTTTTTCCTTATATAGGATTCAAGCGAAGGATATTGTTTAAAAACAGTCCTTTTGTACAAACTTCTGTTTAATATTATTTTTTTTTTTGTTGGTAAATAAAAGATCGAGCATTTATGTAGAAATTTCTTTTCCTCAATTTTCGTTTTATATTTTCTATATTGAGGAAAATTGATTTTTTTTTCTGTTCTGTATTGTGTTAATGTGGTGCAAAATATATGATGACTTTGTTTATTATATTTATAGTTTATTTGCTGCTTTTTTTTTGTTGTTTTTTTCGGAAATTATGATGAAAATTATATACAGTACATATGGTAGGGTTCATTAAGTGTATTGGCATTGGATTTTATAAAAATTTAAAGCAACTGGAAATTCTCTTTTGAAAATAATTATTTATACTCGTTTTTTGCTGATAAAAAATTGAAAAATTGCATAAGAGATGAAGGGAATAAACTTAGTCCTATATTTTTTTGTTATAGGAATATCTTCGATAATATTGTAGGATTATCCCATATATTTTGGAGAATATTACATTATATTATACGAAATAGTTTTTGAGAATAATTGGGAATAAATTGAGTCAGATTTTTATCGAAATTATTTACTTACTAAATTTGGGTTTTAAGTCACAAGACTGCGATATTTCCAAATGTGTAGTTTTCAAAATTTGTCAATATTTGACCAATAATGTTCAAAAAGAAGAATTTTCAATGGACAAGAATTTTAAATTTTTAAATTAAAAATTTTAAATTTAAGATAAATGCTATTGGATTTTGAATCTTTCAGAAATTTGGTATAAAAATTCAATAATTTGTTAAAGTTAGATTTTGCTTAAAAGTTTATTGCCTTTCATTTTACATTAAAAAAAAAATTATTTAGGTAAATTAAAAACACTCTCAATTCAATTATTTATTCCAAATAAACTCACTCCACTATATTAAAAAATTTCTTTATATTTTTATTAAATTTCAATTTTAGCACAAATTATTAAAAATTCTTTTAAAATTTTACTCTAACCTAAAAAATTGGTATTTGCGATAGAAAGTTGCAATTTATATAAATGTAAAATATTTCCTATTGAAATATATGTATGTGTAAGTGAATTAAACAGTAATTATATAAAAAAAATTATTCTAATAAGAATATTTATTAGTTTATAATTATTTTATTTATTACAGAAGAGGAGCAAAAACACAATTCAAAACTCGATTTTTCGATCAAATTAAAATTATTCTACTTGTTTTTATTTAAAATACTTGACAGATAAAAAATAGAACGAGCTACATACACATTACACAATAATGTCACATTTTTTGTATGTATTACAAAATTTAATTACAAATTTTCATACATAATATATTTAATTATTCTTTTAAAATATTTGATTTAAAAATTTTTAAAATTTTTCATTTGAAATTTTTTACATGTATAAATTTCATATTATATTTTATAGGGGGGTACCCACAAATTAATAATTTTAATTAAATAGTTAAAACACAATCAATATTAATTAATCACAGATTAAAATCAATTAAATTTTAATAAAATTTCATACAATTTTTTGAAAATTGAACAAATTTTCTAATTATTCTCAATTTAATTTTCAATTTTTTCACAAAAATATTAGACCCATAAGAAGCTCGACGGATTAAATTGTCGCACACGCGTCTTTAAAGTTCATTACATAAAATAATTTTTAATTAACTTAAATATTTTATTGAATTAATAACAAATTTTTAAATTATTTAAAATAAATTTCATTAAAAATTTGAAATTTAGATTTTTAGAAATTATTTCTTATATTTAAAAATATTTTTTCAAATTACAAAAAACACAAAATGACAACGATTTACAAGTAGCAATGATCACAATAAAACCAACAAAAAAAAAAAAAGAGAAAAGACTGAGACCAAAACGCAAAAATTGATCGATCCGTTTCAGTAATGCCAAAGATACTGTCTTGTGATTAAAAAAAAAATTTCTTTATGAAAATTGTTTAAAAGAGAAAAATTCAATATAGAAAATTGAGGAAAAAAGTGGTAAGTATAGTAAGTAGTTATATTTTTGTAACCAGTAATGATAATAATAGTAAAAATGGAAAAAATAAAAACTATTTTTACAATATTTTTTTTCCTCTGTTTTTTTTTTGCAGATTAGATGAAGCAGAACGCAGCCACCATTGCGGTTGTAAAGTTACCTTTTACCTGTTTACTCGGTTTTTTTCCATTTTTATTTTAATACTTTTTTGCTCTTTTTTGTTCACAATCTCTTCTCTATATAGAAGTAGGCATATATATAAATAGTTGGTATAATTTAATATTGTATGATTTTAGCTATATAAACACTCTAATACCGGTAAAGCTTCTTTTGCTTTTTTTTAATTTTTTGTTTTTTTTTTTTATTGAAAAATGTTGAAAAAAAAAATTATTTTATTTACTCTTTTTAAGATCATATAAAATGCATGTTAATTCAAACGATGCAAATTGACAGTGACCTGACGTGGTGTTATACGAAATGGTTCTACTGTGTAAGCGCCATCAATTTCATAGCCGTATCTCTTGAATTGTTTAGGCAATAAACTTCAAATTATTTATCAAAAACTCAAGACTACAACTAATATAAGTTTATGATTTAAGAGAATCGAAAGCACAATCGAAAACACAATCGAAAACACAAAATCATTTGAAACACCAAAATATTTCAAGTTGCCAGTAAAATAGAGTATAACGTAGGAATTATATCCAGTTAACGTCTAAATAATTTTGGGCAGAATATCAAGTGATAATTACAACAATTAATGTTATGACATTTTAATCAACTGGTTTCCTGCATTACTGCAATGGAGGAACTTAGGGGACCACAGTGAACCTTGTGGAGATTGTTATGGTTCTCACCCGCAAGAGAAGGGAAATACTGGCGGAGATGTGGTCTTTTGAACCTTTTAAGTTACTCGAATTTTTCTGAGGGGTGGGTGTCGAGGGAGCGTTGTAGGAGCTTGTTCCACATAACAGTCAGGAGCACAATTGATCCTTTGTCCAATTTACCATTTGAAGATGTACCACCACTGGTTAAATGACATAAAATAAGCAACTAGCGACATGATATAATGTGAACCTATTCATAGTTAACGGTTCATTTTGCACAAACTTTTCAAAATGATTCTACCTTCACATTTTCAATACAAAAACAAAAATTTCTTTTTTTTTTTTAATTTTTACATTTTTTTTGTTTTTTAATTTTTTTCTCTTGTCCAACTAACGGCTTACAAGAACGCATAATATGATTTTGTATAGGAATTGAATGTAAACGTACAAATAGAGGTGTTAAAAGCATGTGTATATGTATGTATCCAAATACAGAGTGATTAATAAATCAAAACTGGTATCATATAGTAATTAAATACACGTATAGTAAATTTTAAGAATATTTTTACTTTACGTGTCATATAAATTGTTTGTATAGTTGAATTTAATTATTGAATGTTAGGTTATACAATAGTAATTAATATTGTAGTTAAATAATTAATTGCACGTAAATATAAGGTTGTATATGTATATAGGAACAAAGGTTAAACTCATGTGGTGATATGGCAGGTTCATAGAAAGTTGTATTGATAGAACAGCATTTATTTAAAATTGTTAATTATCTTAGAATTCAAATCGAATTAACTTTGATGTATTTTAACGTTTACTGCTGGCTCACAAACACACACACAAAAGATTTATCTCATTAAACGAGTGGTGGGGTTTCAAAATTTCTCATTTGTTCTACGTTGAGTTACAATTAAATTCGGGATCAAATTCGATTCTAAGTTGCAAGTTAGAATCAGAGCTAGAATCCAGAGAGATTGAGAATCCTAGACAAAGTTAGAATTAGAGTCAGATTGAAAGTCATAGTTAGTGTCGGTGTCAGTGTCACAGCCAGAGTCAGAATCAGAGTGGAAATGCAAGTCAGAGTAAGAATCACAGTGAGTGGTAGATTCAGGAGAGAATAGAGTCGGAATCAGAGCCAGAGTTAGTTAGAGTTAGAGTTAGAGTCAGAATCAGATGTACAATATTAGAGTTAAAGTCAGTGTCTGAGTCGCAATCTTAGTCAGATTTAAAGTTAGAGCTAGAGTCAGAATATTAGATTCATGGTATGAGTAGAGTTCAACTCATTTAAATTTCACTCTCCGAGATTTAAAGTCGGTAAATATACAATGTAAACATATAAAATAAAAATTCCAACAAAAAACAAAAAAATTTTTTAAAAATTTTTTTTGCACTGTCGTTGCACCATGTTTTAAAAACTATTTAATTTGTACCAATGGTATGTAAGTATAACCGGAATTACAGCTTTAAATGCTTATAATTGATACGTATATATAGTTAACTATGATGCATATACAAGTATACATAATATATATATTATAATAAATTTTATATTATGAATACTTTTATGTATGCTGATCATTATATTGCATTGTCCATAGGGGCAAAATTTAATAGAAAAAATTTCTTTTCTATTTTCCTTCATATATTAAATTGCATAGGTGTATACGTATATGTATGTGTGTACGTTAACTCATTAAAAAGTAGAAATCAATTCTATCAAAGTTTCTAATCTATAAAATATAGAACATCGTAAT